GCGCTGGCGACTGGCCGAGGGGCGCGCGGCCTGCTGCATAGCTGGCGATTGGACTCCTTGGCCCCCGCGTGGCGCCCGCAGTTGGAGCGCCGCCAACAGTCGACCTCCACCAAGAACTCGTGCTCGGTGAAACTGATGACTATCTTGGGCGGCTGCTTGATCACCGCGTCAGCGTCAATGTCGTCGCGGGCACCGGCGGCGGGAGTTCCGGCGCAGGATTCCCAAGCCACCGCGCCGCCCACCATTAGGTTGGCGCGCTTGACCTTGCCCCTATCGGTCGACCCCAAGGCGCAGGGGCGCGCGACCTGCTTGGCACACTCGTCAGCCTCAAGGTTACCTCGTCGCCCCCGAAGCGTGCGCCGCCCTGCTTCAGCGTTTCTTATGGTACCATGTCCTTTCACTTTGAGAACTGTCAGCCCTTCTCGGCAGTGTCCACCAAAATCATCAACTGCGCCCTATGCAAGTCCCCAGAGGAAGGCCCAACTATGCGATGCACCGCGTGTGCCTTCGCGCCCACGCTCAAGTCGGCCGTTGACTACATAGCCGGCGTCGACCCGCACGGTGATGGGCGCCAGACTGTCCCTGGCCACAATGAAAATTCATCTCGCTAGACACCCTCGACCGACTGATGCAAACCCATCAATAGTGAGCCTAGAGCCCTCAGCGCGCAATTCGGGCCTGGGGTGTATCATCCTGGCCCGATGGGATCCTGCGCCAGCATCCAGCCATGCCGCGGTCGATGTCGAAGTCGAAAGCCGATCCAACAGTGAACAGCTTGTCGTTGCAGAGCGGCAAACCCACATCCCCTGAAACTGCATTCCACGCGACGGTGCCACAGTGTGCCATCTTGCCCAGGGCATGTCCTACACTCAGCACAATGAACACATCGTGGGCTATTGTGATGGCGTCGGTGGTCCAACCGTTGCCCTCCAACGACCGAAGACCTGGCAAATCGTCGCTCTTCCACTCCGTGTGCGAGCCGACCTTCGGAGGCGGTGGGGCGGCCACGATGAGTCCACTTGCGCAACTGCAGGGCGTTGAAGCCATTGCCCAAATGCAGCAGCTCGTCGGCCACCTTCTGAAACTGCCAACCCTACAACTGCTTCCTTGACCACCTTATGGGCATGCCATGGCGAAAACACCAGCGGCCTGTAGATTACCCCGTGCGAGGCGTCGACCCACATCGCGATGCTTGTGGCCGCGCAGCCGGCGCGCGGCAAGGACGTGGACGCGGCGCTGACGGGGCCGCGAACTTGGGCCCAAGATGCGACGTGGGTGGGGGCCCACTGCAGTGCTGATGATTAGGTAGACTGCGGCGGCCAGCTGCCCCGTACAGCGCGGTGAAGCATGCGTGCTGGATCGGCCGTGGCCCGAAAGATGGGGTCGAGCTCGCGCGAGGGCGACAGCGTGAGACTTGGCGCGCGACTCTTGCCGTCGACTCGGGCCTCTGTGGCACGACAGGCCACGGATCGAGCCGTCTGCAGGTCGCTGCCGCTGGGCCTCGCGCAATTCACACTGCACGCGTAAGCTGACGCGAGGCTTTGTTTGGCGATGCGAGCAGCCACTCCACGCCGAACTCCATGTCCGAGGCAGAACGCAGCGGCAGAGGAATGTTCAACCAACGCGGTTTGATGCGCATAGAGAAGATCGGACACTGCCCGGCGAGCACCAGCGCTCGCGCCGTGGTGTAGACGCACAGCTGCAGCTTCAATCGCCACATGGGAAAGTCGCACTTCCGAGCCAGCCGAACAACGGTATCATGCCGAATATGTGCAAACGCTTTCCATGCAAGAAAAACCAGCGCGGCCGTCGCCCCATCGGCGTTGGGATCCTCGCCACACCTCACGGCAACCCACTCGCTCCAAACAAGTTGTAGCCAAAAGGCGCGGTCGCAGCTCCGCCCAGCCGACGCCCGCCAGGGGCGCCTCGAGCGCCCATGCACTCGCGCAAGCGCGGCATGGATGGCAACGGGCCGAACGCCTCCTTCTCCCATGTGAATTAACGCCAACTCAGCATGGAACTCTGGCCAGCAACATCGCGCCTCCACAGGCACCATCGAGTCTGCCAGAGCTTCAGCTCCAGCATCATCCAAAGCGCCGAAGTCTCGAGGGTTGAGGCTGTCGAAAATGCGGCCCCCGCGAACCTTGAATGCTGCGAACGCCCGTCACAACTGGTCACTCGTCGGCCTCTCAGGCCGCTCGCTCGGACCGTCAGGCCACAGAAGGACAGGGGGGCTCGCTGAGGTCCTCCAATACTCTGTCCACCCAGTGACAAGAGCCTTGATCACCGCCATCTTCCCGAGAGGCACCTCCAGGCCCTGGGTCGCGGATGCGTTCGCCGCGGGATCTATGGTGGAGGCGCGTGTCGCAGCGCCCCCGGCAGCGGCCTGAGCGTCGATCCAGTATCCGAAGCGAGCCGTCGGCTCCTTCACGTCGGCTTCGACGGCGTCGTCGGCCAGCTGCGTGGTGATCCCCGCGAGACATTCCACGCCCGCCTCGCT